GCATTCCTGATAAAGAGGCATCCCTGGCTGGTACCTTTCCTGTGGCTTTCTTTGTGCCCTATGTGAAGACATGGGGCCTGAGACTGGAGTGGCCACTTGGGTCCTGCGGTAGCTGGCAAGGGGAAAGGGAGTATAGGTGCTGGCCTGACCCTGTCACGGTAGCCACCTGCCTCCTGGTATTTTGTTACATGAGAGAAATAACCCCTCCGGGGCTCACATGACACCTTTATGTGGAATTTAAAGACACCCATTGTTGGTTGATACCAAACTAACATTTGTTTTCTCGGGTGTGATGATGATGTTGTGGTTCTATAGGGACATTGTCATCTTAGGGGACACAGGCTCAGGTCTTTGGGGGTGAAGGGCCAGGATGCCTGCAACTCACTTGCAGTGGGTTCAGAAAACAGAAAGCAGATAGATAAAGCAAGCGTGGCAACCTCTGCCAAATGATGCATCTATGTGACGGGGTGTGGTACCCAGGTCTCATATATAAGGAAAAGGGTCTGCATTAAGTTGAAAAACTTTATTTTCTTTTTTTGGAGAGGTTTTTGCTATAGGGCGCATGCACTTGCCAGAAAGACAGAGAGAGACAGAGAGACAGAAAGTGAGAAATCACCCCCTCAGGGGGTATGGCCATGCTGCAACCCCTTCGCCTCCATTCTCCTCTCTGGACCTTGGGTACGCATACACACTTGCTCAGCGTAAGTTTAAGCCACTGGGTCCAGGACTGAAACCACGATTGACTACATGGGAATCTAGCAACACAGCTATTACACCATCTGCTGGCTCCACTTGAAAAACTTTAAAAGTTGGTAGGACATACACATTCCTCACCCCCCCTTCTTTTCTTGTATGTCAAAGGGTGCATGTCATGTGCTCACCTGAGACAGAAATAGAGAGAGAGAGAGAGAGAGAGAAATGAGATGTGGTCACATCCCAATCCCTTCTCCTCTGTTTCTCCATCCTGTCAGAATTTGGGCACACACACACATAGTAGGTAGCCACCAGGGTAGAGATTCGAACCAACAGCTGGTCTTATGAGATCTGACTTCTCTAGGCGATGGAATCAGAGCAACACTCCTTTCTTAAGACACGTTCACTTTCCCGGTTAGCAAATGTTTATAACATATAGGTCTGTAAGAACAGAACGCTTTGCCAGGAATTGCCAAAATAATGCCAATCATTCATCGCAAGAGTCAACAAAGTTATAATTAAAACTGGGAAAGGAAACCTCAAAGAAATAAAGTTGTCTAAAATGTGAATGGCTTCCTCTTTTGTGCGTCATACGTATGAAGTGCATGACCAGACCCCGGCCGGCCTAGTTGTTTAAATGAGGTAGTATGTCACACAGCCGAAAACACTTCTAACCATTGCCCGAAGCAGCGGTTAAATCTACATCCCTCAGATCTGAATATTTGTAGACATTGAGACACAGGTTTCTAGTCCTTAGCTAAAATAAGGGTCTGGCAAGACTTTTCCCAGCATTTCTTTTACAAAGCAACTTACCAGAAACAGTTTACCCTCTCCTGTGAATAATCGAACTGTACAGCTGAACATTCTGTTAGGTCTAGGATGCGAATTGGCTCTGGTGACTGGAAAAAAGGAAAAGCAACCTCTGTCATCACCGAAAGAAAAACACACACATATTCTCCCCTTATTTCCCTAACAAGTTTGCTACCACGTTCAACTGTCAATCTCCCTTTTGCCAAGAGGAATGAGCAGAAAAGCTTTACTAAGGGAAGTCACACACCCCCTGGGTTTGGAATTAGCCTATTGTGAAAGTGGGCATAAGAAGTGAGTGCCTTCAGGGCCAGCAGGTGGCAGGGTGGTTAAGGCACTGGATTCCCACATGGGAGACCATGGTTCAAGTCTTGGACCCAGTGGCTTGAGAATCATACCGGGTGTGTGTGCATACGTGCCCAAAATCCCAAGAGAAGAATGGAGGAGAAGGGATTGTGGCATGGGTGACCACCTGGTGACTAGGGGCAATTTTTCCCTTTCTCTCTCTCTGTCTCTCTCTGACTCTCTCTCTCTTTGGTAAGTGCACGAGCCCTGTAAAAAACAGCAAATCAAGAAATTGTCTTGAACAATTTACATTTGATGGAGATGCATTTTAATACATGAAAAGGAATCATGTTTCTCATCTTTTTTAAAAAATTTTTTCTAGGGCACCAGTGCTTGCCAAAGAGAAACAGAGAGCGAGAGAGAAAGCGCACCCGTGGCGGGTGATCATTCTACAATTCCTTCTCCTCCGTTCTCTTGAAATTTTGGGCACTCATGAATACATGCCTGGTGTGTTTTTCAAGCCTTCAGGTCCAGGATTCAAACCATGCAATCAGTCATGTGGGATCCACTTGTCTTAACCACCACACAACAGGCTGGCCCACATCTCTCATATTTAAAAATTACATTCTTAGAAGTTTTGTGTAAGGATAGTGAGAAGAAATGAACTAATTTTAAATTAGCTTAATAAAATGGGCCTGGGTTTGAAATGGACCTATTTTTACTAGCCCTTTAGGGCTATTTTCAACTACAGCCATTGAAAATTGTAGATAATTTTCTTTTTCTTTTGTAAAGATTATTTAATTAATTAAATTTATTTATTTATTATTATTTTTTAATTTGCTATAGGGCATATATACTCACCAGAGAGAGTCTGACAGAGAGGGAGTGAAAATGAGAAAGCAAGCTACCAGTTCTGGGACTTGAACCATGGTCAGCTGTATGGGAGTCAGTGCCTAACCCACCACATCACCTGCTGGCCCCCAAAATTGCAGAGAATTTTTAGTGAGAACTCTGCTCATGTCAGAAATCCAGAACTCACATCTTGGACCAGTAGGTGGTGAGGAGGTTAAGGTGGCTGGATCCCACATGGCCAAATGCTCAGTTCAAGTCCTGGACCCTGTTGCTTGAAAACCACATTGGGTGCATGTGTGTGGGTACCCAAAATCCTGAGAGGAGAAGGGATTGTGGCATGGCCATCGCCCCAGAGGTGCTTTTTCGCTTTCCTGCTCTCTCTGTCTGACTCTAGCAAATACACATGCCCTATAGCAAAAATTTAAAAATAAATAAAATAACATAAATCTATTTTGTATATTGGGTTGCTGGAAGAATCATGACACATTTCACACAGAAAATACATGTCATGACTCTTCCAACAACCCTGTATATACACACACGCACACACACACACACACACACACACACACACACACAGAAACTCACACCTTTAATTGTTTACAGAGTGTTTCAAATGAACATAAGGAAAATTTCAGGGGTTGGGAAAGCAGATGTTCCTTTCATCTAAGAGCCTGTTTTTAAAGGGAAAATGTATTATCATGTTTCTCACCATCTGGTCTTTGAAGTATTTCAGTTCATTTCGGTGCAAGGTGAACCATCTTGTTTTCCAGGTCTGAGAAGAAAAATAGAGAAAACATACAGGTTTTTACATAGAAATACAATTTTTTTTAACTAGATCATTTACTTTCAAAGTATCTAAAAGACGAGGCCAACGGGTGGTATGGTGGTTAAGACACTGGATTCACACATAGTTGTCCATGGTTCAAGTCCCAGACACAGTGGCTTGAAAATCACACCAGGCAAGAGTGCATGCATGCCTAAAATCCTAAGAGAAGAACAGAGGAGAAGGATTGCAGTGTGGTCATTTCCCCTGCGAGGTGATTTCTCACTTTCCCTCTCTTTGTGTCTCTTTCTCTCTCCAGCTAGTGCACATGCCCTATGGCAAAAAAAAAAAAAAAAAAAAAAAAAAAGATTAGGTACAATAAGCCTGAAAATGATCCTTTGTGTCATTTCCAGGAGTTTCAAAATATCTACAAAAATAAAATGATAGGCCGACTCCGTGGCCTACAGTGGTTAAGGGAAGCAGGTGCCACATGGCCACCTGCAGTTTGAGTCTTGGCCCCAGCAGACTGACTGAAGAACACACTGGGCATGTGCATACATGTCCCAAATCCTGATAGGATGAAGAAATGGAGACAGGACTGCAGTGTGACCATGCTCCACTAGGGGGTGGGGTGGGAGGGTCTCCCTCTGGCAAATAAAAACTTAAGTGACTCTGTGCACTAAGCTAATAATTAAGACACATATCATTAGCATATGTAAGCAAATAAAAAAGAAATAACTTGTCTTAAATATTCAAGGTTATTTATAACAAGCCACCACCATTTCTATTTTATTAACTCTGTAATAAAAACAGGTATGACTTGGGGGGCCCCTTCTGTAAGCTGCATAGCCTTGGAGGTTTGTATATATTGTAGCAAATCCTCCTATGATGACAAATATAATGATGAATACAATTATTCTTGTGTTACAAATGAGCAAATAGACATTTAGGACCCTCAAATGATGTGATATTCTAAACCTGGCTTGAGAATCATATGGTGTTGGTGCAAAACTATTGCCACCCACTGTCACCTTGTTTTCCAACAAAACCCTAATCTGTCTGTCCTGGTGGCCATGTGCTCAGTGTAAAGAAGGGATAGAGGATTTAAAATGAATATGCTGTGGGGACCAGCGTTTGGCATAATGCTTATGCTGCTGGACTCCCTCATGGTTGACCACAGGTCGAGTCTCAGACTCAGTGACTTAAAACTCATCCCAGACACATGTGCATGTGTGCCCAAAATCCTGAGAGGAGAACGGAGGAGAAGGGATTGCAGTGTGGCCATTCCCTTGGGGGGATATTTATTGCTTTCTGTCTCTCTGTCTTTCTCTGTCTCCTCGGCAAGCACATGTGCCCTATAGCAAAAGTCCCTTTTAATTAAATAACTTTTTCTGATTATTTTTATTTTATTTTATTTATTATTAATATTTTAAAAATTTGACCAAAGAGAGAGACACAAAGAGAGAAAAAGAAAGAGATAGAGAGAGATAGAGAGAGAGAGAGAGAGAGAGAGAGAGAGAAGATAGAAACTGAGAAAGCAAGTCATCAGGTCCAGGACTCAAACCAGTCAGCCATGTGGGAGAGTCCAGTGCCTTAACCACCACATCACCTGCTGGCTCCGCAAAAAAGATATCTCTTTAAAAAAACAAAAAGATATGCTATAAACATGAGTGCTCTCTGACCTCAGGGAGCATCCAGCCTACTAGGGGAACAAATAACCAAATGGTTAGGATGAATCCAAGCAGGCCAGTGTCCATGAGAGAGGATTAGTACCTCTTCTTCTTTTAAGTTTATTTTTTACATGACAAAGAGGAAGACAAGCACCCACGATAGGGTCTCACTCCACTATCCTGCAGCTTTATCCAGACAGGCTCACAGGCGTGCACGCACGGACCCGGTGTGTGCAAGTCGGCCTGGGACCTGAACCCTGATCTTCCGTGTGACCTTCGGCCTTGCAGAGTGTTGACCTGCTGCTGCACAACCATGACTGGGTCCCCGACTTTTAAAATCGGAGCAGACATACCCCATGAAGGTATTCTTGGCACATTTACATGAAATAGAGTAACTTTAAACGCACAAATCACATAATGGGGGACAGTGGATAGCCCAGACTTACAAAGCCTGAGACTGTGTTTTCTTTGGCATTTGATAACATAGTCTCACTAGTGTTGGTGATGGCCTACCTTTAGGCTAAAGCATTTTGTACGTTTTACCCATTTTGCCTTCTATGTCTAATTAAAATGTTTTTTAAAATAAAGGAAAAGGAAAGCACAAAATGATTTTGAGTTAACTTGTCACCTTCATCCTCAAACATTTCATTAAAAGAAATTCCATGTTTTCTTGAGTATTAACCATGGACTACTTTCACTCAGGACTTCGTCAGAGAATAATCAAGTCATTTTGCATTATTTCGACAGCCGTGAAAGTGAACTCTTGAAAACAGGTAAGTACGACCAGTGGGTCGAAATGAGTAGGCAATTACTCTTTAACAAGGACTCATCAAAACAAGAATTGAACCTGCCTGGCATTCTCTCTTCGTGGCAGGTGTGAGCAAGACCCCATGTCCTTACCTTGACCAGGCCCCCCTGCTTGGTGAGGTAGCCTTCTTTGGTTCCCAGCTGAAAAAGAAAGAAACACGAGTGAAGCCCAGAACCCTTCAGCATGCAGTTGGTCTTTCCGTTGCTGTCCTATATTACAACGAACACCAGGTTTGCTTCAGATCTCTTCATGATCATCTTTCATTCTTCACTGAGGCACTTGGAAATCTTCCACATGTGTGAGCCACGTGCCTGACTTCGCCTGGACCATCTGAGCTAACTGCAGCCACGGGCCCATAGACTGGGCGTACAGACTGTAATTCAAGTTAGCAGTGTGCAAACAGTCAGCCACATCATTTCACGTATAAAGTTAGTGTTCGCCAAAGTGTGTCCCGTGAAGCCCAGCTGCTTGGACCACCCAGGTGGTGTGCACGCCCACCTGGCACGTTTTCATGCGGACCAGGGGATTCAGGCCTGTGGTTGGCCACATGGACTCCAGCGATGCCATCCAGGATGCTAAGGACCACACCTCTGGAGACCCAGAGTCCCCAGAACAGATTTTCAGGGGTGTAGATGTATTTATACAGATGGATTTGAAGTGAGAGGGAATAATTTCTTCTAATTCACGTATCATACATTCAAAGGTCACAACAGAATATATCACACGCTTTCCTAGCACCTATGAAAACCAAGGAACGGTGAGGAATAGTGAGAAGAGAAACGCACCAGACAAGGACCCTAGATCAAGAGACTTATAATGTCCCAAGTTTCTGAAGAAATTGAATTCCTGGTAAGGTATTTTGTTCTCATATGGTGTAATCTGATAGTGGAAAGAAATAGAAGAAAAACTGGGAAATAGCTTGGTTTACATCAAGGTTCTTTCTGTGGGAGTTTCCAGAGTATTTTTCCTGAGGTGAATTCTCTCTACCAAATAAAAAGAGGAACAACCATCACCACAGTAAAACAAGTGAGAGAAAAAAGAACTCAACCAGCACAACCACTTCTTCTTTCTCTTCTTTTTCTTTCTTTCTTTCTTTTTCTTTTTCTTTTTTTTTTCTAGAGTGCATATACTTGCCAGAGAGGGGAAAATGAGAGGAGAAAGCACCCAAGCACCCCCCCACACCCCGCCACGGGGAATGGTCACACCACAACTCCTTTTCCTCCATTTCTCCATTCTTTCTGGATTTGGGGTACACACACATGCAGGGTATTCCTCACGCCCCTGAATCTGGGACTCAGACCACGTGGTTGGCCGTGTGAGATCTGGCTGCCTTAACCACCAGACCACTGCTGGCCCAAACAACTTTTAAAATTCTTATGGTGTAAAAGTATGGATGAACTTCCCAGGTGTTCATTTAAATAATGTCAAACAATATATTGGTTTGATTCGGACAACAAAGAAATTGAACCTATGGAATTGAAGTTAGGTCATTTATCATGGAAATGGAAAAACTAACATTTTGGATTGTCTGCAGCTTAATGTCTGTAGAGGCAAAATATATAGTTAAAGGCAAACTGTTAGATAAAAGACTGAATTATTCATTGAAATCAAGAGATAAAGGCTACTCGTTGCATCTTACTTCATTGAATCAATGTACTACTATAAGTCTAATATTTTTTCTCAGGTTTTAGTAGATAAGTGGAAGGCTACTTGAACATGAATTTTATGAATTTTATTCAGGGTCTCAGGATATAAGAAATGAAATAGATATATGGCAGATTTGCGTTTAAAATAACTAGGATCGGTAATAGGAAGGATGTTTATAAGAGCCTCAAACTGGAAACAAATGATTAAAAATGAAGAGTTGGAGACCAGTGGATAGTGTGATGGTTACGTAGCTGGACTCCTACTGTTTGAGTCCCAGACCAGGAAGCTTAAAACTCACACCAGGCATGTGTGTCTGCCCAAAATACCAAAAGAAGAATGGAGGAGAAGGGATTATGGTGTGGCCATGCCCCCTGGGGGGGTTTCTCACTTTCTGTCTGTCTCTCTCTGTCTCTCCAGCGAAGGCACGCACCCTACAGCAAAAATATCTCTTAAAAAAATAAAAGTAAAGGTTCAGTCACACCAGGCACACACACATATATGCCCAAAATCCCAAGGGGAGAATGGAGGAAAAGGGATTGTGGTGTGGCCATCAACCCTGGGGGGTGATTTCTCACTTTACCTCTGTGTGTGCACGCGCGTGCGTGCGTGTGTGTGTGTGTGTGTGTGTGGTGAGGTCACGCACCCTGTGGCAAAAACTGAAAATAAAAAGGTTAGTTTTTCCACCATTCTACCCACCTGCCTGCCTTAAACGCACTCAGTAGCCATCAGGTGGTGAGGGTAAACTCCACACATAGAGCTCTCCTACCCCCTTCCTCATCACCCCTTTTCTCTGAGACTTGGCTGCTGGCCCAGCTGAGCCTTGTGATCCCCTGTGATGGTTGCCTTATCTCAGGGAACCGGCTGGTGGCTCTTCCGGAGGTACGCCTCACACCTCCCCCACAGTGAATACCACAAGACTGGAGGCACGAAACCCCAGACGCTAACCCAGACATACCCTGCGGATTGTCTTCATTGAGAAGCTGCTCTGGTATGGACGCCCCTAAATGACGTATGTCTTTCCTTAATTGATGCATGCCTTGTTCCTAATCAGTATAACTGGACCATTCTCTGTCCGCCTTCACTGGGGCTTCCCTAGGAAGTAAACTTGTGTCTTCCTCTGCAGGATCTCCAAGATGGTCTTTGGAATCGGTAAGCATCATGGGCAACCCCCCAGATTTAGGGGCCCCCTGAAAGAGGTGAGTAAAACAAGGCAGGCATTGTGTGAGGAAGGCATCGGTGGACTTTTGGTACAGAGTGGCAGAGCCCAAGGTGGGCACAGGGAGCACTTGGGAGGACGATGGTGGCTGTGGTAGGGGTGGCACCTGAGGAAGGTGCTGAAGCCTGGCAGGGTGAGAAAGACTTCTGCCCCAAGGGGTAGAGGTGGTGACCACCACATAGTGTCAGAGCTAAGGCAGGCTAGGCGGGCATCTGCAGTGAGGGTGGGGTAGCAGTGGCCTGGAACCGAATGTGGGTGCAGGACTTGGGGATCAGGGTTCAGGGAAGGGGAGTAGGTGGTATGAGCAGGAGTTGGAGCCAACTTATGTTCGTGTGACTGAGCAAGGCCTGAGGGTAATGGGATCCACATTCCTCCTGTGGGCAAAGAGTTTTACAAATAGGAACAGGAAAAAGACTTGCATGAGCCTCGTGGTGTGGTATTAGGATTGGAGATTTCCGTGTGGATGCACAGATAGACAGAGAGAAGCAGGGCAAGGGAGAAACATAGACATTAAATGTGCACGTGTGCATACGTGTACGCACGCAGGACACCCTAGCTCTGCGGACCGTGGGCTGGCAGAGCGGCATCCCTGTAACTTACAAATCCATGCAAAGCACTCATGTGAACGGGTAAAGTACCGCTCTGCAGAGGAACAAGGACAGGGCTGCCTGGGGAGTCTAGAGCTGGGATTCGAGATAAGCCTGGAACACACACACACACACACACACACACACATATGCACTCTCTGTCCCTCTCTCCCTCTCATACATACACTCATAGACACATACTCTCTTTCTCTCTCTCACACACACTCACAGACACATTCTCTCTCACACACACACACACTCACAGACACATTCTCTCTCTCACACACTCACAGACACATTCTCTCTCACACACACTCACAGACACATTCTCTCTCACACACACACACACTCACAGACACATTCTCTCTCACACACACACACACTCACAGACACATTCTCTCTACCTCTCACACACACATACACATACACACACACTCTCAACAAGAAGACTAGAGGAACAGACACCAAATGTTTGATGTAAGCCGAGCGTCAAGGACAAGTTACAGAAACAGCTAACGTGTGAGGGAAAGGCCCAGAAAGAGGAACCATTAAAACACCAGAGATTACAGGAAAAAGTGTGGCCGAAGCGAAGTTTTTGGAGGTGTTAGAAACGTCAAGTCCTGCAAAAGGGAAGCTAAAGCACTGTCAGGGTAGGTGGGACCTATCCTACGTCAGGAACTGCTTATCTCAAGTCGGTTACCTCACGTCATCTCTGCCCTCCGAACTCACCGGTGTTCACACTGAATATGTCCAGACGGAACCTGCTCCCATCTCCCAGACCCACTCCCCTGCTGTCTTGGCCGCCAGTACCCAGCAGGATACACATTCTGTTTCTCTTTCACAGGTGATATTCAGCCCCTCAGTAAGTCTTGTCTCTTTCACCTTCAAAAAACATCTGGAAGTTGGCCCGTTCTTATCCCTTCCCACCTCATAACTACCAGTTTGACCCCTCCCTGGGTTAAGGACCGCCTGTTACTGGCAGGAACCTTCTAGCTGGTTTCTTTGCCTCCAAGTCTGCCCCATTCTAGTCAGCAACAAGGTGGACCTTTATAAAAACTTACAAACTTAAATTATATTACTCAGAACTCTGTCCTCATTTCTCATCGACCTTTAGAACAAAAATAAATGATGTACCTTGTGCTACAAAACTCTTTGGTATGCAGAGGAGGTAGGGTTGACACCCAGGGCAGGACAATTTCACCATGCACAGATGCTCAGTGGTTTACAGTGGTAGTATGCTCTGATAAAATCCATCGTTGATGTGAAAATACTGTAAGTGGAAAGCGCGTTCATACACCTAACATAACCAAGCACCATAGCTGAGCCAAGCCTTCCTTAATCATGCTTAAAACACTTACATTTGGGACCAGCAGTTAGCGTAATGGCTATGTTGCTGGACTCCCACGTAGTCAACCGCAGTTCGAGTCCTGGACCCGGTGGCTTAAACTCACGCCGGGTGCGTGTGCGTGCGTGCCCAAGATCCCAAGAGGAGAATGGAGGAGAAGGGATTGCGGCATGACCATCCTCCCTGGGGGGGTGATTTCTCGCTTTCTGTCTCTATGTCTCTCTCTGTCTGTCTGGCGAGCGCACGCGCCCTATAGCAAAAACCTCTCAAAAAAAAAAAAAAAACTTACATTTGCCTGTGGTTGGGTAAAACAATCTATTTTATAACAAATAAAATATATAAAATAGAAAATAAGGCGTATTTTATAACAAAGTGTCAGATATCTCATGTAATTTATTGAATACTGAAAGCGAAAAACAGAATGACCATATGGGTTCTTGAAGTATGATTTCTGTCTAATTGGGGTCAGTTCCACACCATTTTTAAATAAGGAAACATTGGAAGCTAAACCACCATAAGTCGGGGGTGGGGGTTGTCTGTATTGGGCAATGATTAACCTCCATAACCCTGTCCACCACTGGAAAAAAACCTCCATGGGTCGATTGTGTTTCCATCTGTCTTATGAACAAGGCACTAACAGCACTTTTCTGCAGACTACTTTTTAAAGCACGCTTTTAAAGCAAACAGCTCCAAAGGTTAGAAATAATGTCTCCCTTCTAAGCAATAGGCATACACACTTACTGCCTATTATAAAAGAATTGGGTTTCCTGGGCTCCATTCTGGTAACACAACCCACTGTGTGTAGGTGTCACCTCACCCTTTTAATGTTGCCTGTGGGTCCTGGGGCTCAGCACAGAGAAGCAGCACGAATATTGACATTCTGGATTGTTACTGCTATGAGTGACGCACTACTCTTTATGTCTGACCCAGAAGACTTCCATCATCCCTCAATACCCATGACACGGACAGGCTAACTTGTAGGCTTACATGCAGGGTAAGGTCTTGAACCCTTCATGGTTCTTAATGCTACTAGTACCCCAAAGCATTGCAACAACTGAAACCTCAGATTTCCAGACACTCAGCTAGGAGATGCTGTTCTTCAAGAACTCCACCACCTGACCTAGTCTGGCCCCTCTTCCACCACTTCCCCTCTAGCTCACCTCATCCAGCCATTCCCACCTTCTTGCTGGTGTTTGAAGCACCTCGAATGGGCTCCTGCCTCAGGGTTTTGGACTGCGTTCTCTGCCTCCAGCACTCTGTTCCGCATCTGGACAGCAGTTACTTCTTCCTACATGTGAAGTCCCTGCTCAGATGTTACCTCCTCAGAAAGGCTGCCTGTGCTGCCCCCTCCCCCTCTACTTCATTTCATTCATGGTGTGTTAGTATAGGGTACCATTGTTATTAGTGGTGATTGTTGAGACACTCAGAATGCGAACTCAATGAGGGGAGAATTTTCACCTTATTTGCCACCAAACTCTCAGTGCTTAAAACAGGCACAGCTGTTTATTTATCTATTTATTTTAATTGCCAGAGGCCATATGTGCTATCCAGAGAGAAAGAGAGAGGGGGGGAAGCACCCCTTAACGCAGCGTGGTCAAACTGCAATCCCTCTCCCTCCATTTCTCTATCTTGTTGGGATTTGGTGTACACATGTGTGCACACCCGGGCTGTTTTTCAAGTCTCCAGGGCTGGGGTTTGAACTATGTGGTTGGGAAGGGTACCTTTTTTTTTTTTTAATTATTCTTAAATAAATGAATTAATTCAATTTAATCCTGTCCTAGGACTCTAATAATATGTTGTTTATAAACATAAAAATAGCCATTTCCCAAAATGTGGTTGCCAAAGGATATTAAACCGTTTTATACAAGCATCCGCATTGTTGCACAATAGGACAACTTTCATTTTCTCTCCAAGCAAGAAGTTATGTTTCCTATAAATGGGACTCAGTTATCTCCCTCCACTGCCAGATCGTGTGCAAGGTCTGCATTCCAAAAAGAGAAAGCAGAAGTCTGCTGATGCTCAGGGCCCTCGGGTTGGCGATGGAGGGGCAACTGCCACACCAGTGTTGGGGTAGCCAGCGAGGGCTGCGGACTCGTGCATTCAGTGAGAGACAAGAGCGTTCTGACAGCAGCCATGCTGGGCTGGCCATCGTTCCGTAGTGAGACCTGACAGGTACTTGAGAACACACTAGAAAGCCTTTATAGGTTTTTATTTTTTTGGGGGGTCCATATTAATGGAATTAATAAATTAATATTTAATTCAAACTTAATGTTACTTACATATTATGGGTTTCTTATTATATAGCGAGACTCCAGTCATTCTCAACCAATTCCCACGATTTAAAAACCTCTCTTATACCTTTTACATGCAGCCATACTGAGACACTTGGGCAAGTAAACCTGACACGAGGATGAGCAAAGAAGCTAAGAAATGAAGCCCCCGAATTTGGCTGGAAGAGGACAATTTCTACCTAAGTAGGCTACGTCTCCCTTCGCACCAATCGGCAAAGAGGCGTTACCTGAACCTCAGTACTGGTGAAGGTCATGGTAGGGTGTGGTTTGAGGGACCGAGTGGAAAGCGTTGGGGCAGTGTAACAGAGGGACTGCGGAGGAAACTGAGCACGCACGCGGAGATGGTGAAAGCTCGGGGTGCTGAAGGATGGAGAGAGACGTTATGATGGGACCGGTCAGCAGGGACACAGCACCGTGAGAGGGAAGGTCTTACATGATCTTCGGTCCCTTCTGATTCCGTCATCTCGCCTTCCCAGATGTCTCTAGCTGTGACATCCCCCCAACTCTAACAAAGCCCAAGTCTCTTTCTCAACCAGCCCCAGGATGTGCGTTTCCGAGGAGATGTAGTGCAGTAACAAAAGTGGAAGGTGGGCCCCGACCTGAGCCCGGCTCCACAGCTACAAAGCCCGCAGCACTCTTCCTGGTGAGCAGGGCAGACAGGCTGCGGGGTTCGCCTACAGCAGGGTTGTTGCAGAATGGTCGGACCTTGAGACAGTTAATGTGCACAAACCAAAATGAGAAACTCAGGGCACCGTGCTTTCTCTGCCCTGAAAACAGGAGCACTGACCACGTCGGCCAGACCGCGAGTTCCACCTGTCCCCTCAATGCATCTTCCACCTGTCCCCTCAATGTATCTTCCGCCTGTCCCCTCAATGTATCTTGCAGTCCTCCTGCTGTCAAGCAGGTGCAAAAACTGCAGCAAATCCCTTCCCACCTCGCTGGCACCTTCTTTCTCAATAAATATACGGAGAATCAGCCAGTCTGGGCCGCGCTCCTCTGGGCCTGTGAGCCTCTGGCTTCCTTGTTAAAGATCATTGTTGGGGGCCAGCAGGTGGTGTGGTGGTTAAAGGTGCTGGACTCATGCATGACTGACCATGGTTCAAGTCCTGGACCTGGTGGCTTGCATTCTCACTTTCTCTCTCTCTCTCTCTCACTCTGTCCTTCTTTGGTCAAATTAAAAATAAATAAAGTTGAATAAAATAATTCTTTAAGAAAATCACTGCTTCTCTTGTATGTTTGATGTCACCGGCGTTCCCATAGGTCCTACATTCTGGCTGTACTGGACACGGAGCAGGATAATTTACGTGAAGGTAAACAGGGTGCACTGGAAGAGGGCTGTTTAAAAAGATGCGAGTGGGGGGTCAAGGAAGGCTTTCTGGAAGATTCTGGTCCCTGATGCTTGTGTTGAGGGATTTGGGGACAGTAATGGTGTTGGTAGCATCCCAGATGCAAGGAGGGGATAGCAGCCCTCTCAGCAAAATGCAAGTCACTGGGAGAGGTGGGTTCTACAGTGCGAGGGCCGGAGCAGCATGTGGTGAGGCCGAGAGGCAAGTGGGTCCAGGTAGGTGAGAGCAGACCACTGAGGCATGCCGAGTAGGGAGGTTATACAGCTAATCTACCTTGATGTTTTCCTTGCCAGGTGGTGTGTGCACTTGCTGGAGAGAGACAGAGAGAGAGAGAGAGAGAGAGAGAGCACTCCCCATGGGGGCTGGTCATGCTGCAATCCCTTTTCTTCCATTTCTACCTTCTTTCAGGATTTTGGAAATCCACATACATATGGTGTTTCTGAAGCGTCCTGGTTCAGAATTCAAACTGCACAGATGGCCATGTGGGATCCAGCACCTTAACCACCGGCCACGGGCTGGCCCCACAAATATGTTTTTAAGAAAGCCCTCTCTGGTGACAGGGTGGAAAAAATGTATGCAGAGACAGAAAGGTCACACATATTTTAATAAAAATATCTTCAAGTGACTATTTTTCAAGTACACCGATGAATATCTAAAATGATTTCTTGATATTTCATTGGGTATTATCCTTTTTGTCATCTGCACAAATCCAGATTTCTTATACCAAGACTTTTGAGCAAACAAGGAAGAGACCATAAACAGAAGGGTCAGAGCAACAAAGGGAAGGGAGTGCTGGAGAGTCAGGTCACAGGTCACAGGTCACAGGTCACAGAACAGGCGTAAATGGCCCGGAAGGCCAGTAACGTCTGCTCCGGTGGCCCTGACGCCGAGCAACGGCTCGTGTCGCGGGAAAGTGCAAGGTTTTTTTGCCTATACACCCCGGTCAGTGAGGGAGAAAGGCTAGGACAGAGTAACACCCCAACTTTTCGTAGTAAAGATGGGGATATTTTCTCTTCCATAGACAGGTGACATGTAAAAGAAAAAAAAGAACTCTTAATTAAAAAAAAAACTCGACAAAGAATAACCATTAGTCACCTATGAGCACAGGCATGTTTTGCCCTCCCTACGGGAACTTGCTCGGCTCACTCAGGGCAGAGGTGAACTGTCCTTGTCCGAGTATCTGAAGTCCTGTAACTGTCGCATTCCAGAGTCCACCGTGACCAGATAAACCAAGTCACAGGCTTCAAACCTTGCATCCCAGATCTTACATCCCAAAGCGGGACCTTCTACGTGAACAAAGGGACTCTTCCTCTCAGCGCACGTGATGGCCCTGAGACAGACCGAGCGTGAGGCTGGATCGGCGGTCACTTACGGAGGGTGCTGTGGGCACGAGGTCGTCTTCTGTTTTCCCCGTCTGCATCGCAGTGTGGACCCGGACAGACTCGTAAATGGAAGGCTCTTCCACCTCTCTGGGGTAGGGGTGCTTGAGCACAATCAGAGTGCCTAGACGGGGAGACAGGTCATCGTTAGCCTCCCAGAAAGGACAAACACCGGCTGGACGACACGGCTGGATGATGAGGTCTCCCGTGTCGCACGTGGTCACGCGTTCATCTGGACAATTGTCAAGTGCTAACTGTCTGTCAGGTGTGCACTGGCCAGTGAGACACGAAGACAGAGAAGGTCTCTGGCCTCCTGGTGCTCAGAGATAGTAAAGGAGAGGCCGGTGGTGGCAACGTGCATGAGGTGTGCTGACAGCACTGACAGGCCCAGAAGAACCTGACCCGGCAAGGATTCGGAGTGCTCGTGGAGGAAGTAACGTCTGATTTAGACCTTCAGGAATAACTGGAAGTTTCCCAGATGGGCCTTACAAAAGCCATGAGGGCAAAGTGAAACAAATTCACGGAGTACAGGAGGACTACTCCAGGGCCCCGGTTTCCTACCAGTGTACTCACAGGATTCTGTCCACTCTCTCCTCCACTATCTAACTAACTAAAGGAAGCCTTTTATTTATCGATTTATTTTTTTGCTGTGATTTTTGGGCTGCTGGGTCCAGGATTTGAACCACAGTTGGCCATGTGGGAGCCCAGTGCCACAACCACCATGCCACCTGCTGGCTCCAACATTTGCTTTTCTTTCTTTCGTTTTTTTTAGAGAGATGTTTGCTATAGAGCATGTGCGCTTGCTGGAGAGACAGAGAGACAGAAACTGAGAGATCACCCCTAGCCAG